ATTTTCGTGCCGCCTCAGTATACTGTAACAAATATGCTTTTCGCATGTAAAAAAGATAGATTCAGTATCGATAAAAATCGATATTCGAAGGGATGATAAATACAATACCCTTGAAAAACCCTAACGGTATTGACTAAGGTGGTGTGATATAAAGCTTTCATTAAATAATATATGCATTTTCAAGAAGAGTCATTTTCAAGAAGAGTAAATATTCTTTAGGCGATAACACTCAATAATGTCCATGGAAGAAGCAATACTTAGAATTGCCGTGTAGTATTTTGTCCTTTAAATAATAATTAATATAATAATTAATATGTATAATAATTAATAATTTATTATTTATTTGTTATATTATTATATTATAAAGAAAAAGAAAATTATTTTCCTTCACTTTCATCTTTATTGGATCCAAGTTCAAATTTGGTGTTTATTTTTGGATTTTTTAATTTTTTAACGCATCTGCGTTATGGTGCATGGGCTACTTTACTGATACCCATTATCTGTCACATGCGCCAAAAACCTTTTTTTTCAATTTCGATAAATTAATATTCGATGTCAGGTGTAAAAATCTCGACACAAGAAATTTCGCCTGTGAAACTGAAAATATTTTTTGATAGACGAATTATAACTACTATAATTGAGGGCTTCTTATATTATAGAGTTTTAGAAGTGAAAATTTTGAAATTATCGAAACTGTACAGATTAGAAAATCGTAACCAATTATATCGAACATATTTCATTTTAACAAATTTAATTGGTTATTAAGTAAAAGGTTAAAGAATGAAAGGAAATTCAAATGATTAACAAGAACCAAAAATAAAATTAGTTATCTTTATTAAATTGTAATAAATATTTTTTTTTATTAATAATTCATTTGAAAGTTTTTGAAATGAAAAAAAAATTGAACACGAAAATTGATGCATTAAGCAATTTTTATTGACAGTCAAAGTGGTTACAATAATATGGACAAACTCATAATTATCATTATTATTTAAAAATTATTATAATTATGAAAAAAAAAGATTTCTTTTTTTTATATTTATTTATTTATCATCTAAATTAAAATTTTTAAACTCCGTGAAAAAAAGCAATTTCCCAAAGACCAAAATAATAAAACAAAAAATGAACTCAAAAAAAAATAGAATTGATAGATTAACCAACCAAACCAATTTTTAATTTTTTGTTTTTAATTTATTATTACTGTAGTTATTACAAGCATATACATATATAACAGACTATAATATTATCATTATTTTAATTTCTTTATATTTGTTTATTTATTTTATTTTACTTTATTCTTTTGATCGTATATTTAATATTACAGAATTCATCATGATCCTTTATTTATCTTAGTTTACATCCACCCACGTCAATCTTTATTATCTACGTTGCTCACGCATGGAAGGAATAGTTTATATAATTTATTACTTATTAATAGAGAGAAGGATTGGTCTTTTTTGCGAGTTTGCGAGATTTTTGCAGCAATGAGATGCAATATATATATATATGTAATTTTATAATATACAATATAATATAACAATCAAGAACCTATGTACCTGTAAGCAAAATACTAAAAATCTGCAAAAATTGTCTAAATTTATTACAGGAAAGAATTGAATAATACTATATAATATATATATTTATTTCTTTACTTCTAAGATTTTAAAGAAGTCGAAAGAAATAATGGATGTTTAAGAGCACTTGATAATCAATCAATTCATCTGGATGTTGAAAAGCACTTGATAATCAATCAATTTATTGATTTTCAATTTTAAATGAAATTACTAAATTTGATCTGATTTTCTTTTCAATATACGGATTTGTAAGTTATTCCGAAACTATCTGGTTTTATATCTCTTTAATAAAAAAAAAATTGTGCAATTTTCATCCAGGATCATAAAAAGGGTATTAATTAATATGTGCAAGCAAATTTATATAAAGATCCCTTTGAACGAGTTCGACAAATTCAGGAGTAAACAGAACAAAGCGAACAGAAAAAAACAAATAGGTTTACGTATGAGTAAATCATTAAATACTCCTTTTCTTACTTCATCAGGAAATTTTTTTAGGCGTATATCTCCGTAATAATACGACACCCACGTAGAAATACATATATTTTCGTATGTTTACGTATATTTACGTATATTTATGTGTATATTTACGTAAAATATACGGATCATATAATTTTACGTAAATATACGTATTTCTACGTGGGTGTCGTATTATTATGGAGATATACGCCTAAAAAAATTTCAGGATGTTTGTACTGATAATTTTTGTTTTTCTTGTAAATCACCATCACCATGCAATCTTCTATTATCGTTCGTATCATCATCATCTTTTTCATATTTGTTCACGGAATTCAAGGTAAAACTCTAATATATATAAAAAAATATTTTGATTTTCTGCTGATTTTCTGCTCTAATTGCTTTGTCTATAAACAATGTTTAGCATACAATTTAACACTTAGGGGTGGTTTCTTCTCAATCTGTCATGTATATGTAACAGATTGTAGTGAAAAAATCATAAGAGATGCAGGACGGAAAAATTGCCTTCATGCGTATCCTATTACACGACCCAAAGATAATCGTAACAAAAGAAGGAATGAATGATTTGCAGATCCCCACTCCCGACCCAAACCATCTGATAATTAAGAAAATCGTCAACCAATTATTTTATCGTAATTTATTGTTTACAATATTATTTGTAAAACTTTTGACAACTTTAATTATATTTTAAAAAATGTAGTTTAGTATAGAATATTTTTTTGTCAATTTTTCAATAAAAATTTAATTAATAATTTTATATTTATCACAAAAACTTTTATATAACAGAGAATATAATTTTTTTTCATTGAATTTATGTTATATACAAAAAAATTTCAACTCTAAATTTTCGAAAATAAATTATTCTATAATTGTGATATCTGTTTCAAATGAATTTTATTAAAAATAAAAATTTATCTATTATTTTGTGATTCTATCCATCAATTCCAAGAAAGAGGTAAGTGAGATTAAAAAAATAAAAAATTTATCATATAATCCTTCCCCAAGAAAGAAAAGAAAGAAATCAGATAAGAATATAATAAAATACAAAAGAAACTATCTTATTTATCTGAAATTCGAACCCAAGACATAAGAAAATGTACTATTAAAATATTATTAATTAATTTATGACTTACAATATTTGTTAATTTAGGATTCAATTGTTATTAAAATTTTAGTATTTCTAAAACTGAACTCTTATTATATGTTAAAAAAAAATATCAATGATTACTAATAATAAATATAATCATTTAAAGTTAGACTCATTTATCTTTAATATTTCTTTTATTCTATTAACACACATCTACAACTACGTTCTATGGTTATGAAAATATAAAATAAAAATATAATAAATACAAATAAGTCACTAAATTGAGATATAAAAAAATTATTGCATTTGCTATCTAATTTTAATTCTTCACTATTTTTGATATTACAAGACATAATGGTGAAAATTTTTTATCAGAAAGGTCACCAATAGTATACAAATCTTAAATTTGTAAGAAATCTTATGTCTTTCCGAGAATTATTAATGGTTTACATACAAAATTGAAATGGCAATGTAAAAATAAACATATATGGTATGTATGTTTCGCTAATCTATTTTTATATAGTTATTGCGCAATTGGTTGTTCTTTGGGATGAACGTGATGGAAAATGAAATCTAATCATCATAATAATAGTAGTAACTTTTATTTAATAATTAGATAATAATAAAGATGGTACCCATAATTATGAATTGCAGATTAAGATATTACTACCTGTGTCGCAACTATTACAGATTTTCAATGATTAAAAATCTGCAATTCTACAATTCGCAATTATTCGCAAGTCTGCAATTATTCCGCAATATTACAATATTACATTTAATTAACATTCATATATTTATAAATTTATAATTATTCTAATTAAGTAAACAATTTGGAACTTGGTGTTGAGGTGTCCAATTTGAATAAAACAACTACCAAAATGTTCGCCTCGATGAGGGAAATCCAATGAGCTATAAAAATTGGATCACAGATTAGTGAAATCACCCTATATAGCCCGAAATAAAAAAATTATAAATAGAATTTCTAAACAAATTTAACACCACTTTAGATAATAATTAACTTTTATATTTTTTATTATTGATTTATAATTGAATCTGCTGACAAAATATATGAATAACTTTCACAAGAAGTATCTCATCTACATGAATTATACGCTAAATGTGCCAAGATTTATTGATGAATGAGCCTTAATCGAGGTAAAATTATTATTGATTTCAATTGGCACATTTATTTTATTCTTTATATTTTTATATATATATTCTCACAGAAAATGATCGAATTCGAAAAAAAGGCATCCAATCCACGTCGCCTCTTTCAAAGTTCATTTTTGATGTAGAGCTGAAATTATTAACGATCTGACAATAACAAATTCCCGTGATACCAATTATGCAACAAAAGCACGAAATATTACTTCTATCACCAATAACCTAACCAGGAAATTTAACGAATTCTAGAAACCTACATGATGATTTTAGTCAAATTGCCACTGAATTCGAATAGGTATTACGATACTCCATGGCGAAATTAATCAACGATATACCCTTATCCAAAGCATGAACAGGAGCAGACTCGACCAACAAAGTGAAGTTTCATCATCTTCTTCCACTCGCTCATCCTCGAATTCTTCAGGGACTGAGAAATCTTTACGAGTACTCAATAAAAATCAATCTACTAATTATTATTTTGATTGCATGATCCGAACGAATTCAACTCACAGACATTACCTTAACCACTTGCTCCCGCTTTAAAGAAATCTTCGATAGGGTCACGGCCAAAAGAAACTATACTTTTGATGAAATGTGCAGACAATCTACATTAAAAATATTTATAATAGAAGTAGTTATTTTAAAGCTAGCACAATTAATGAAAAAGGTAGATTGGTAGACAATATAGAGTCGGGATTACTATGTTTTTATCGATAAGATCGACGAGATCATCACCAATAAAATCAAAAAATAAACTTCGTGACTGTGAAATCGCGTGATGATAATTTTAAAAGATGGTTGATCATCTATTTTGCTTAATGTTTAATGATCCCGCTTTAGATTCTAGGGTTGGTAGCTTTACAACCGCAAGCTCTACAACCGTAACTGCATGCTTTACAACCGCAGCCATAAGGTGAGTAGATATGTACAACTTGTTTTTTAACTTTAATCTTTGGCTAACTTCTGGAGTTGTAGTGTTGACGTTATTCCGAAACGAATGCCAGAATTCCGAAAACTGTGGTGGGACAAAGGTGAATTTAGTTTATTGGCAAATGGGAAGAAGCTTCGTAAGTCCGTTTTCTATTTACTTTGAATATATTTATGGTCTTACGAGACATAAACCAATTTTTGCTATTTGTATCAAGGCTTCCGTGTGAACTTGCTGTTGGTGTCACTTTAGAGGAATATGAACGGCATTCGGAGAAGTTTAATGTTCGTGGATGTTGGGAATGGATTAATGGCAAAGTTATAATTTATGAATTACCTTCAGAACCGTATGAAGTTTATATTGGTACAATTACTAGGATGTTATCAAATCAAACCAATGCTGTTGCTCTTACCAATGCCGAGATATATTAATTAGTAAGCATTGATTCATTAATTCATTAATTCATTAATTTTCTATGCAATATTAATTTTTAATCACTAAAGGGACCTATGCCGATGATTCTGCAAAAGAGGCCGACAATTCATTCAACTTATCCAAATGGAATTGATGGAGGAGTAGGTTTTGTTTTTTTCCATTGAGTTCGACCCTTCAAAACTGAAGATTTCATATTATGTTTTTTGATTTTTTAGACTCGTCCTTGGCCAAATCTTATTATTGAAGTAGCATATTCTGAGTCTACAGATACAAGGTGATGAACTACTTGTTAAAGCCGGATCGTGTCCATGATTCCATTGTTGTGAAATTGTACCAGACTCTCATGGTCAAATACCAACTCGTATGATAGTAAGTTGTATTTACATAGTTTTGTAATCTTATTATTTGGATAATATCTTGAAAATTTTAATTCATTGTAGGCATGGCATTATTGTATTTCGGATAGAATAACAGGAAATATACTTCCAGCTAGAACTACGGTAATTTTTGAGTAGTGATTTTCTTTTTGGCTGGTGTCAAATATCCCTGCGGTTATCATAAAATTACAATAATTTATTTATTAGTTTCCTGAACTTAAATAAATAAAATGTGTGATAAAAATAACACGCATTAATTATATTAATTTATTACAAAATAAAAATAACATAAAATTAAATTTAGAAGTTCCAACGGTAAAGCATAACAAATCAAGGTTGTCGACTTCACAGATTAACTGTTAATCAAGAGTTCGAGTATTGATCATTAAGATCAATTGCAGCAAATTATTCAAAGCGTGAGAATTTGACATTGGCTTGAGCGTAATGATAAGGATGAGAAAGAGAAAAAAAATATGAAAAAAATAATAATTTAATTAATTTAATTTATAAATTTTTGTTAAGGTATTTACTTCTTTTTTCTTTATAAAGGTGAGTATGATATACTAAATAATGTCTTTTTATATATTCAAATATTTTTTTCTTTTGCTAATTTGAAAACCTTCATAATTATCTAATAATAATTGGCTATTTTTTTTTAATTAGTTTTTCATATAATGTGAAAAAAATAAAAGGATCTTAAAATCAGAATTCCAGCTAATAGAATTGTAACCATCAAGAATCAACATCATTTGTTTTCTGATCATAAAATACATTTTGCCCACATTCACCTCTTCTTCCACACACAAAGAATAAGGTTAAATTTCATATGGTTTATTAATAACTCCATGTGTAACTTCTTATCAACCCAAAATACAAAAAAATTATTCCGATTATTATTACTATTTTTCTTAAATTATTTATTAAAAGAATTTAAAAGAAATCATTAGGACAACATTTTTTTTTTTTGAATTAATATGATTTAACATCAAAAAGTGAAAAAGGTGCGTAATTCTCAATTAATTAATCATTTATTTATTTTTTATTTAATATTGATAAATTAATTATAAAAAAATTTATAATGTGTAAATTGGTACAATTAAAATAAAATAGATAAATTAACATACCCTCATCATGAATCATGAGAAACTTAAGAAACATAGAAGGTAAAGTAATAAATACTCGACCCATTTTTATAATTTTTTAATTAATTAATTTATTTTTTAATAAAAATTTATAGATCAAAATACAAGTAAAGAAGAATATTTTGTTGAAGTCTCAATTTAATATTTAGTATGATGGAGCATTTTAATTATTTTTATTTTTTATTTGGTGAATTTTATGATTACAATAATAATAATAATAAATATATTTTTTAATATTTTATATATTTTTAAAGATATTAATAATTCTAATAATAATAATAACAATAACAATTATTCTTCAGTGTGATGATAAATAAAAATAATAATGAATGATAGTGGATGATGATGATGACGACGATGATAATGATGATGATGAATTTCAAAATGATCTTGATGATAATGATACCGGTTAATATGAGATTAAATTTCTTCAATTTATATTGTAAGTGATTCGATATTGTACAACAAGGATAATTTTCTTGCCTTAAAAACTTCATCGTTAAATATTTTTTATATAAAATAATAATTTTAAATTATAACGATAACAATCATTACCAGAGTCCATATTAATAAAATGATATGTACTTATAAGTTATATTATTTGTTATTATTAGTTTATTCCTTTCCTTTTTTTTCAAATTCTTCCTTTCTTGAATACTCGTAATAAACTTTTTTCTATTCGTAATTCATCACAAGAGGTATTTTGATTTTATTATCATTTTATTATTATAATTATTAAGTTTTAATTATTTTTATTATTATATTTATTTTATTTTATTTTATTTAATATCTAACGTGTTGTTCTTTTTAGGAAGCTACTATGACATAAAATAATGTTAAAACATGGGTGAAACATTTATTAGTGTTTGTTAAAGAATTAAATAGTGAATATCAAGTACCTCCAATAGAGGTAATTTAATTTAATTTAATTTAATTTAATTTAGTTTAGTTTATTTATTTTATTTTATTTTAATTTATTTTATTTTATTTTCTTGCAGATTTTCGATTCTGACCTTGTGTGTGTGCGTAGTTTACTGGTTTGTATATTATAATTTTTATTTCTACTTATTATTATTCATGAATATAATTAATAAATTATTAGTATTATTTTAATTAATATGATTCCATTTATTATCTACGCATTCATGTGAATTAAAAATATAATATATAAATAGACTCTACATTTGAAGAATGTGCAATTCAACTTCATCATCATTATTGGAATATGATACATTACACTCCACAAGATGAGATAGATAAAGGAATGTTTTGTTTATTCGCTAATAAGAGTGATTCGAAAGAACTTTTTGAAGCATTACGAGAGATTATCAAATATCGAGAGAATAACTTGATTAATAATAATAATAGTAATAGTAAGAGTAATGGTGATGATTTCTCGGAAGGATGAATCAGAAGAAGTAATAGTTGACCTCAAACTAACTTGTCAAATTCATGAATTCATGAATCAGGAATTTCATTATTATCAAGTGGATCTAACTCGCGGGATTAAGGTTCCGACCAATTGGAAATTTCGAGAGAGAAAATGAAATCATTTGAAAATGATTTTCATGTTCAAAAAGGGAAATCTGAAATTTTAAGTAAATGGATAAAATATTTATATGGGGAATTGAGAATTCACGTGGAGAAAAGGATTCAACTTTGTGACGAAGAGTATTTGGATTGAACGTTTAAGAGAAATTATGCGAGCTATTATTCAAAAAAGCCATTGAAGAGGTACTATTATTATTATTTATTATCATTATTATTTATCACTATTTATCATTATTTAATTTATTATTATTTTTTATTTTTTATTTATTTATTATTTATCACTATTTATAGTTTACTGGTTGATCTTTGAGATAAATGTTTGGTTCCTCAATATGAACGTGAATTCTTTGAGAGCTTACAAAAAAGTAAGTAAAAATAACATTTTGATTTATTTAATAATCGAAGATAAATTAATTAATGCGTAATTTATTTATTGATTTTTACTTATTCATTTTTTTTATTATTTATACAGTATATATATATATATTTATATTAATTAATTAATTAACATCTTTTCTTATTTTAGCTGAGAGAAAAACCTTTTATGCATGAAAGTAAAGTCTTGATGATAGTCTTAACCGATAGTCTAGTTTTTTTTTTTTTATTTATTTTTTAATTTTATTTTTTTAAGTTTTTATGGATAATTATTGAAAAAAAAGTCGGATACGATATTTTTAAAATAAAAATTTAACATTCAATCTTTAATTTTTTTGAGAAATTTTTTGTACATGTCACGTTATTTTAATAATCAATGTTTAGCATTAAAAAACGTGTGTAAAGATATTAAAATCTTATATTGTAACATTTTAGTCGATTTTGTGATAAATTTATATTTTCCTTGATTATTATTTTCCTATTTTTATAAAAATCGAAATTACAACCAAACTAATTGAATTTATACAAATGGGATGAAAAATTCATACTATACGCCTAGTGTAAACTAATATGTATGTATAATGTTAAATCAAATAAATTAAAAGAAAAAAAAGATCATTAAGATCCGAATTACCTAAATAACATAGAAATAAATTAATATAATTTATTATAAAAATAATAAATAAAAATATAATATAATAATGCTTATTAGGATATAAATTAGATATAGATTTTAGTTAATTCTTCAAGTTCCCTTTCGAAATTTTCATCATTCTTGGGTCTTGGAAGATTTGAATAATTAAGAAATCGACTGATATAAATTGCTTGCGGATGCGTTTGATAATTATGAGGAGTTGTAGTTGTTGTTGTATTGGTTGATTCCGTTGATTCTTGATTTGCTGAAAATTCTTCAGCTTTTTTAATTTGAAAACCGATTCCTGAATCTTTATTTTTCTCATTTTTCTCTCCATATAAATAATCAGAATAACCACAATAATATTTCCACAACTCAGTTTTTAATTCTTCAAAAGTGGGTCTATGTGTAACTCGAGCGTCCCAACATCTCATAATCATTCTCGTAATTAATTTTGGAGTATGAAATGGAATTTTGGGACGTAATCCATTACATATTTTCATAGCTAAATCTTCATCATGTGGTATATCTGGATATGGAGGAAAGCCCGTTATTATTTCGTATGCAATAATTCCAAATGAATATACATCAGCAGCTTTTGTATATTCTTGACCACCACTTAATACTTCTGGAGCAATATAAGGTAATACACCAAATATATTCTTTTTTTCGGGACTATTTGGATTTTCCTCTATTAATTTACTTAATCCAAAATCCGAAATCTGCATATAACTTTTATTAAAATCGGATGATAAAATATTTCCAGGGTGAAAGTCTTGGTGAACTATACCTAAGTCGTGAAAATTCCTCAACCTTACAGATAATTCCAATAAATAATCTAATTTCTGTTTCCAATTAATATTATTAAAATTAATTTTTAAATATTCTCGAAGATTTCCATCTTTTGCATAATCTAAAACTATCATATATGAGTGTGTTTCTGGATCTTGTGTAATTCCATAAAATTCAATTGAATTTATATAAAAATTATTATTCATTTTTAAGTGAATTATCATCTAATAATAATATAAACATTTTTTTAATTTATTAGAACAATTTGAAAATTAAATTAAATTTAAATATTAATTAATTAATTAATTAAAAAATATTTACCTCATTTAAGAAATCATTTAAATTTACAAAATTATCAAACTTTTTTAGAGCCAATTCCCGTTGAATACTTCTTTTCCATTGTTTATTTTCAATATCCCATTTTCTAATTGATCCATCAATCCATCTAGCATAATGTATTGTTCCAAATCCACCTCTACCTATTTGTTTAACATCTTTAAATCTATCAAAAGGTATCCATTCTATTACTTCTCGATATCTATTAGCATTTAATTGAGAATTTTGAATGAATTTATCTATTTTGTCATTTCCACTTGTCCAATTCTTAAAATCATTTTCGAAATGTTTTGAGTAACATGGTTTACACCATGACTCATATTCATCCCATTTTTGATTGCATTCTGGACATTTTTGTTTGCTTATGGTATGAAGGGAAGAAATTTTTTTTTTGAAAAAAGAAAACATTATTACATTTAAAATTGCAAGTTGTTTTTTTGGTATGCAAGCAATATATATATATTTTTTTTTTATAATCTTTTCCATCTCATTACACAAACAAATGCCAAAATATAATATTTAATACAGATTAAAAAATGATTTAAAAGATGCGTGAATTTGTGTTATAAATAATATGTATATCACATTTCCTTCTTTTACGAAAAAAAAAAAAAAAATAACGCCACATTTATTTATTAATCAAGTGGAAACAAATAAATTTTTTTTTTTTTTTTTTGAAATCAGGATCAGAATTATAGGGGTGCTACAACCCATCCATAAACGAGTTGACCAACATCACTATCTATAGGATCAAGTGTGAAGCAAAGTATGATTTTAGATTGGAACATCGTCGTCAGCGGTGAAGTGTTTGGTAACAAAAAGTAATAACTTGAATTTATGAAGAGCATTTATTTATTTATTTTTTTTTTGTGATGATTTCGTTTTTTTTTTTTGTGAAGATGATTTTATTTTTGTGACGAGAATTTTTGTTTTTTGTGGAAAAGGGAAAGAAAAGAATGATTTATAGAATTTTTTTTTTTTTAATTATAATTTAATTTAATTAGATAAATGAAATAAGTACTTAAAAAATAAATAACTTAAAAAAAATATTTAGAGAAGTAAATTTAACGAACGTCTATCGTTGTTTTTCTAAATACGTGATCGTCATAGTTTCTAGAATTAAACCAAAAATTATAATTGAGAGCAGTATCATGTGGCTTCTTATGGCGTAGTAAAGATGGTAATCACCGTCATCCACTTTGGGACAATAAAAAACATGCAAAATATTGCAAATAGTTGTTCATAGTCAAACAATGAGTTATCAATACAATTCAAATACTTCCTCTTCCAAAAGAAAACCTGATGATTTTAACGAAAACGTATCCTCCAATAAATCTCGAAAAACTTTCGACGGTGCAACTCCTCAACATGTGGTAGCGAATCATTATAATAACATCGAAGATAAAGGAAAACAAAGAAGATTAGAATCCAAAATCATATTTCTTAGAAACTTTAATAATTGGGTTAAAAGTGTATTGATCGGTAAGAATACTCCGGAACAAGGAGTGGTACTTGATATTGGATGTGGGAAAGGTGGAGACCTTTTAAAATGGGGTAAAGCGAAAATATCAAAATTGGTTGGTCTTGGTATGTTTAATAATATCTATTATTTACTCTAGATATTCTATTGAAATTTTTCTTATTAAACATTATCTATATCTATTTATATATATAAAATAATAATATTATTATTAATAATAATATTTAGATGTCGCGGAAGTATCAATTAACGATGCAAAAAATCGTTGGGGCAAAATAGGTATGATTGAAAAACGTTACATATTATATATACATAGATATAGAGTGTGTGAGGAAGAAATAGAATTTTTTTGTGAATTAAAAGGTTTTTTTTTTAAAAAAAAAAAAATTTAGATCATAAATTTGATGCCGAATTCCACGTTTTTGATTGCTTTTCAGTAAGTTTTATTATCTATTATTATCTTTTATTATTATTATTATTATTATATTAATTATTATTATATTAATTATTATCAACTATTAATAATATTACTATTTATTATATATTATATTTAATTATCTACTGTACTGTTAATTAATTATATTTACCATTAATTATATTATATTGTTTATTATAGAAAAGAATTTCAATGATAGAATCCATAAAGAATATAGAATTTGATGTTGTGAGCATGCAATTTTGTCTTCATTATTCCTTTGAAACGGAAGAAAAGGCCAAAATGGCGTTGCAAAATATTTCATCAAATTTAAAAAAGGGTGGATCATTTATTGGAACTGTTCCTGATGCTTATTGGATAGTGTAATTATTTATTTATTTTTTTTTTCTACTCAATCATTTATTTAATTATTTTTATTTTATTATTTAATTATTTATTAAATTATTTATAAAATGGTTAATTGATTAATTAATTAACTAATTCGTTCTATTATTAATTCTTTATTATTTTCTTATTAATTCTTTTATTATTTTTTTATTTTATTTATTTTAATTTTTTTTAAATATTAGAAAAAAATTAAAGTCATTAAGACCAGATCAATTAGAATTTGGAAATTCTATATATTCCATAAGATTTGAACAAAAAAATCATTTTCCAACTTTTGGTCATAAATATTGGTTTAATCTTGAGGACGCTATAAATGATTGTCCGGAATATTTGGTACATTTTCCAACTTTCAAAAGGTATTAATTATTATTATTAATTGAGCAACAAATTTCGTAATAAAATTGCGCAAACAAATTGTAAAAAAAAAAAAAATTATAACAAAATTAGATATATTAATAAATGCATTCTTTTATATATATATATATATATATAGGATGGCAAGTGAATATGGACTTGAATTAAAATATTTAGATAGATTTCATGATATATACAACAAGATGAAGGAAAAACGTCAGCATCGGGACCTCTTATATAAAATGGGTGTTATTAGACACAAAAAACAATCTGGTGTAATGTCTCAAGATGAATGGGAAGCCGCAGGTTAGCAATAAAATTTATATTTTTATTTATTATTTTTATAGAATTTATTGATAATTTTAATTGTTTAACTAATTTTTTTTTTTTCGACATATTTATTTATTTATTTAGGAATATATAAAGTATTTGAATTTAAAAAAGTCCGGTAAAAAAAATATCGTAATGTCGTAATGTTATGATAAATTTTTTTTTTGAGAAAAAACTAGTTGAAGCGAAAGATTTTGTTTCGTCACCACTAGAAAATATTGATATATCATAAAAATATTACATATATATTATTTAATTTGTATTCGCATAAAATTAAAATAACGATTAATTATTATAGAATTTCACGTGTAATTATTTTTTTATCCAATAAAATCAAAAATTTAATCACATTGTTAATAAATACGTTAAGTGATGTGATTATTATTATTTTAGTAAGGTAGAAAGGAGAATAACAAATAACAATATGACCACATTTAGAAATATATAATAATACACATTTTAATTAATAATTAATGTCCGCATTTATATTAGCATATATATATATTAGCATGCACACAGGTACATATGACACATGGAGTATTACTGGATAGAAAATAAACATATCATTACATCATCACCTGGTTACCGTTTATCATTGATGCGTCATTTCTTTGTGTGTCCTTACATTTACTTTTATTGCTATTAATAGTCAATTCCCAACTAATTAGGCACGCACTATTATTGATATAAATTATATAAATCGGTAAATACCGCCGAATACATGATGACTTATTTGCTGAATGAATAAATTATTAAATACCCGAGTTTTAGATTTGTTTAGAATTTTATTTATTTATTTCTTTCTTTCGTTCTTTCCTTAATGCAACTTTCTTTATTCTTTTTAAATAAAATAAAAAAAATAAAATAAAAAAAAAAAATGAGTCTCCTTCAAATCAACCTTGAATCAAATCAAATAATCGATTTTAAAAGATATTATTTATATGGAGTTTTAATAAATCTGTTACCAGTTTATATGTTTTATCCTATTAGAACAGCCAAAACTATTCAACAATCAAATATCGGAACATCATCTTCTACATTTCTCGGTAATGTTTTTTTAGAAAGAATTAAATCTGAAGGAATTCGTGGTTTATTTAAAGGTGTGGGGATTTATGCTATAGGAAGTATTAGTGGTCGATTAATTCATTTTTCTACTTATGACGCATTAAGAGAGAGAGTATATCGAAAGAGAGGAAATTCTTCTTCACTTCCTTTAGGACTTAAATGGTTAGAAGGATATAAACCTTCCACAATCAATGCACTCTTAGGAACTTTTAGTGCTTTAACTACTTCCACTTTTATGGTTCCTTTTGATGTGGTTTCACAACACCTTCAAATTTCAAAAAGGTTACCGACAAATTTTATTAATACTTCATTAAATAACAATAATCTTGGTGGTAGTAGCGGAATCAATAATAATATGAAAATACCTAAACGTACAATATTTACTATTAATTCATTATTTCAAACTTCTTCATCACCGTCGTCGTCATCTTCTTCTATTACTGCATCACATAATGTATCACAACAATTAACCAATTATAATTATAATAATAATAATAATCGATCAATCTTTTCATTAAAAAATTATATAAATCAACTTAAACCAAAAGATTTACCAATTCATCGATTCCTTTATCGAGGTTGGGTGGCTAGTATTCTTGCTACAGCATCATTTTATCCGACTTACTTTTTTATTTATTCTTATTCTTTAGAAAAATTATATGAAAATGAAAAGGATTTACCAACATTTTTATCTTCATCTAATTTTTTATGTTCGATGACTGCAGGTGCAGCAGCAGGAATTACTGGAACAATTACTTCAAATCCATTTGATATTGTAAAAACTAGAATTCAAATAGCTCGTCATAGTAATAATAATAATAAAAATAATAAAAAGATAATCGGAAGTGTAGGAAAAATAAATGAATTAAAATTCTTTGAAGTAGCTAAAGATATTATAAAATCTGAGGGATTTAAAGGTCTTTTTGTTGGAATGTCAGCTAGAATGTGGATAATTGTTCCTTTGGGAAGTTTAAACTTTTGGGTATTTGAAAAGGTTAAAAATTGGAGTATTGTTACTGTTAACCCTTGTTAACTTCCATTCATTCCTTTGTTAAATTCTTAAATTGAATTATATTTTATCCTCTCGTTTTTTTTTTTTTTACATTAGAATTTATAATTTAGAAATTTAATTTATTATTTTGAAAATAGAATCATTAATTGTATAATTATTTTTTTAAAATAATGCATTCACATTTTTTAATATTACTCAATGTTTAATATTTCCATCATCCCATTTTTTTTTAATCATAATTGACAATTGTTGACAATTATTTGAAAATCCCAGTCTAAAAGCCTCACCTTTACATGCATAAAAAGGGAGGATTAATTTATATATATTCTATAATATTTTTGATATACAGTATAAAAGCTTTTAAAAAAAATTTTTTTTTTTTTGAATTATTTTAATAAAAATGATACAAAATCTTATTTATCAAATTTTAAAATCATTAATGAAATTTTTTAGCTTACCGATAATTTTTTTTTGTTGATTTTATTATAATAACATGTACAGCCGCATGCACGTCTCTACAAACCCAACCAAAGAATAATATCACTTTGACACTTCTTTGAAAGTTTGATAGTTGAACTTCTTTTTTTTGGGATTCAATTTTTTTGTTTAGTAAATTATACTTACACAAAAGTTTCATAATATATTTACTTACTTGTTCCTCGATCATCTCTTTCCAGTATGTTTACAAATCTTTTGTATGCTTTGAATGTTCTGTATTAATACCTGTTATAAAAAAAGAGATTTCCTTAGCATTGAGCAGCTAGTGTGTCAAGATTTTCATTTAGTTGGAAAAGAAAGTGCGCAGCATGATCCCCTTGACAATCAGCCGGCTTTCTAACAACAAAGGTTGGACGCCTGACTTAAGGACCACCTAACCCAGTAATTCTCCAAGACAAAATCACCCCAGTAACTGAGAAAGAACGTTTACGGTGGCCAACCCGCAGCCTCGATGTGCTTTCAATTTCTTCAATCCCGTTATGATTTTTTGCCAAGGAGTTATCCCTCCTTTGTCAAAATAAAAAAAAATGAACACACCTTTTTTGTTAATCTCATCAAATCCCTTTTAAAAATCAGGTGGTTCAAGTGTATAGAAAAAACAATTGATATAACTTAGTAATTAATTTATGTATATTAACACAAGTTACAAAAGTTTCATGATATAAATTACTTACTCGTCCTTTTCCAGTATTTTTACAAATCTTTTGTATGTTGCGAACATTCTAAATTGTACCCGTTATAAAAAAAGAGTTCTCCTTAGCATTTGAGCGTTTTATATTGTGCAGCTAGTGTGGCAAGATTTTCATTTAGTTGGAAAAGAAAGTATGCAGCATGATTCTCCTTCAAACCATGCAACTTTCTAACGACAAAAGGATGGAAGGTTGGGCGCCTGCCTTAAGCTCTTAGGACATCCTAACCCTGTAATTCTTCAAGACAAAATCCCACCCCTAAAAACTGAGAAAGAACGTTTACGGTGGCCAACCCGCAGCCTCGATGTGCTTTCAATTTCTTCAATTCCGGAAATGAAATTTTGCCTAGAAGCTACCCCTCCATTGTCAAAATAAAAAAATTGACGCACCTTTGTAGTTAATCTCTCCAAACAAAAATCGGGTGGTCCAGAGTGTATGTTAAGCAGGTAATAGGGAGAGGATGTAAAGAACGACGATGGCAATAAATGAATAAATAAGATTACGGTGGCATGCAATCTGATGATAACTATTTGATTTTTTAGTTTGTTGTTTGACTGTTTTATTTTAATGATAATTAAGCAGGTAATAGGGAAAGGATGCAAAAAACGAAAAAACGACGACAAATAAATAAGATTATTGGAGGCATGATATAGATCTGCAGTTACGTAATCTGATGATAATTATTTTGGTTTTTTTAGTTGTTGTTTGGCTGTTTTAATTAATACGCGACACGCGGAGTGACCAAATCACGCGTAGGGTCAAAATTTCTACTGTCATGTATAATGTTTTGTAATAGGTGAGGTGAATTACGAAATAATCAATTTTAAAAGAAAACTCCGATTTTTAATATCAAATATTTTACAGTCAGGGGATATTCCAAATGAGGAGATGAGATCTCAAATATTTCCACTGCAGATTCCTAAAATTTGATTGGCTGCATTTTGAAAAAATTTTTGAAAAAAATTTTACGTGTTCAAAACAAAATAAGACGCATAGTTTTCATAATGACAAATAATCCTTCAACAATTAAGTCCATTTGTTAAAGTAAATGAAAGCTTAAACTAAGTATTTGCTTTGCACGTTGTTAATTAGAATAAGTAAAAGAAACAATTTTATTAGTCAAACTAATAATAATTTAAATAATTTTTTTTTAGTGTCCGTTTACCTGAAACCTAAAAGCAAGAGATCAATGTATTTCACGGATCTAGTTGAAAAATATGACGAAATTGTATTAAAACCTTGTGAACCAAAGAACACAAAATGGAGACATGCTAGTAAAGAAAAAAGAACCTGGCTTGAGGATAATTCAACTAATTATATTGATTTCAATTGTTGATCTTGAAGAAGCAAAAAAAAACTTTTAAAATCTACACAAAAAGAAGGTCAGTAGAAAATCACAATCAATAGCAGATATTAACAAACAAATTACACGAATGCAAAATTATATCGAAGAACAAAAAAATGAAATAGCTGAGTTAAAGAAACCGTTACAGCGATCCTACGACAATATGAATAAGATGCAAAATTTATATGATGAACAATGTAAGAACAATGAGGTTCTTATCAGACAGTGGAATTCAAGATTTACTAATCAACAAAAACGTATTGACGCAATTGTTGAGATAGCAAACGCGGAACGTGCATCATTATTTGATGATTTAGAATCATTGATCCGAAATAGCACTAGGTTCTCTATGGAGAGTCTGTAGTGTATAGTCCTCATGAATGTCTCAATAGACGTAATAAGGTGGTTGTTACATTTATCGAAACTTTGATTCAGAATATTCAGGGTATTACCACTTTAGGCTAAGAAAAATTTTTTAAAACCACGGTTGCAGTTTGATTCGATATATGGAGCGTGACATAAAAATACGTTTCAGAAATTCAACTTGCCCTCTCAGCTATTAAATATTCAATCGCACTATCGAAGATGATTACCAATATCGATAATCATATTACGAGATCGAGAAGTTACTATCGATTTCAAAAATGGTTTGAGGAATTATCAAAACAAGAAGAACCATTACCCGAAGGAATTTTATTTCTTGCATTTGATAACGAACAAAGAAGACAAAAATTATCTCGACCGAGGATATAATACAGTAGTTTACCATATCGTTACCAGTTTTGTTACTTTTAATATGGAATCGTACAATCGAATTCAACATACTGAATCACCTTGGACATTTGAGGATATGGATCTTGTTATTCAAGAGAGTGTGAGATATACATATATATCAATTTAGCCACTTCTACAATTAAATATACTAGATCTAGATCAAAAACTATTATTGATATCAACGACTTTCACATTATTGGATCAGGCTGTTCGTATGGTTTTTAAAATATAGAAGAAATAAAATAATTGATATAAAAGACATGGGTAATAGTAGTACGTCGTGATGGAATACCTTATTATCATGCAAATAAATAAAAAGAGTTTTCATGGTTAATTATTCCATGAGGAAATGAATATGTTGAAAGCCTTTGTTGAATTGAATTGATATTTTATTATTGTTATTATTAATTCACCTTTATTTTTATATATATTTTTTATATATTTTTATTTATTTATTTTTATATATTTTTATATACTTTATTTATTTTGAATTATTTTTAATATATTTGCACAATGTCAAGGATATCGAACTGAAAATCAAAAGCACTTTTTAAGAAAAGTGTGTTGACTGTCATAAATCGTGGGATTCGATCCTTAACATATATTGACATACGATGGCTTGTGGCCATATGTTATTCTACAGAAAATTCTTTCATCGAAGGTTAAACATGAACTCAATCAAACAGATAATACATTTCAATTAAAATATAAGCAGGTACTATTTTTTTTTAATATTTTTTTTTAAATAAATAAATCGTTATTTTGATTTTTTTTAATTTTTGTACAGGTGTTCGTTATCGTATCAGTCAATGTTCAATGTTCATTTCCAGGTTACATCAACAGTAGAAGTTAAATTCGTTTCTAAGTCATTTATTCAAAATCTATTAATTAATCATCTCGTTTCTGTTAATATATTAGTTTTGTGTGCTTTTCTTCTATAAAAAAAAAATCACAAGGCTTTTCTGTCACTCTTTACTTCATATTTTATTGTATAAAAAATTTGTTATATTTTATTAAAAACCTACAGTTAAGATTCTCATACGATATAGACCTTCTACTTAACAAAAAAGTATTCAACTTGCTTACTTTATAATTAATATATTTTATCTGTATCCACTTTTCTAAAACTACAGACTTAATATTTTTTTTAAAAAAAAAAAAAATTATGTTATTTTTTTCTCGTAGTAAAATTATTAATATAATAATTTAAATCAAAATATCGATAAATTTTAATTTATATATTCATTTGTACAACTATGATTATGATACTTTACTTTTTCCATTTATATATTCAATTAGCCATTAAAATGGAAGATTACGAGTATATTTTTTAACGTCAAAAAAAAAAGACACTTGCAAATTATGAAATAAAATGAAAGTTTTTTTTGATAATAAAGAACAAAACAAGACAGCTTTGTAGAAATTTGCCGTGAAATAAAAAATAATGCCTTGTACGATTATTGATATAATTGATGATGGAAAATTCAAAGATATGGAAGCTTAGATAAGTTAAGACGGTCGTGGCAATTAATAAGAATGTGACATGTTGATAAGAGTGCTGTAGAAATAAACAAACAATTTCACAAAAAATTAAGCAAAAAACTTCAACTGAACTTAGTATTCTGCTATTTATTTATCTATATTTTATAGTTGAGGCAATATTTAACGAAACAATTGATGTTGAACGAATTTACAAAGTATTGTATATCGGGAAGTTTTAAAGATTGATCCAATTAACAAAAAAGGGCGAAGAGCTACAGATATAAATAAATCAAAATGGGCAGATATAACAATAAATAATGGCGAAACAATTAAAAATACAATATCAATTCAAGTAATTCCTACCATACGTGAGGCTCAAGAAAACCAAACGAATTTACAAGATATCCCATTTATAAAAGTGATTCCATGTCTACAGATAATAAAATGAGTAATATATTAAAAGAACTTAATACAATTTCGACAAATAAAAGCCTATTATTACAAATAGAAAATAAAAAGAAAAAAGCTTGTAAAACTTTAATTTTCTTAAAAAATTCCTTTATCTTGCTCAAAAATATATCACTATTAAAAAAACTTTTACATTTAATAGTTTAGCTTATTAAAATTTAAAATTATATAATAACTAGAAAAAACAATATAATCATTATATTTTTTTCTACGGATTTCTTTTGAGCACGTTTTAAGATACATTTAATACATTTATGAAGTACAATTTGGTAAAAAAATTTGACTAATATTGAATAAATACTAAAGCTCGGTAAGAATAATTTGTAAAAAAAAATATTGAATTACAAGTGACAAGTGGTAGGGTTACTGGGATATTGACTACAATCTATTTCTTTAAAGTCCCAATTAAACCCAGTACCAGTTACTTCAAAGCATCCATTATTGCCGGCATCAACCAATTTACTGTTCTTAGCCATGTGCACTTGAACAGAATATGGGTTATTTGGTGTGGAACAATCCATTAATTGACAATTGTTGCAGAATATGTTTCCAGTGTCACATATTGCATCATTATTATTAATCCATACTCGTCCAAAGCAGGGCTCATTATTTTGAACACTAGAAAATACTCGCGCACGATACGCTATACATTATTTGTACAGACAAAATTTTATTAGGATAGGAAAGATCAAATATTTTTAAATAAATCTTCGAGAGCTTTACCTTCAGATACATGAGTTACTATAAAACAAATGGTAAGATTGAAAAAGGTTGTAAAATACTTCATTGTGATTGTGGTAAAGTATTATTGACTAGAATAAGTGCGGAAAAGCAAAGGAGTGTGATTTTTATTTCTTCCTCAGGCATATACAGTATTTATTTCGTGTGATGGACTTTAAAAAGATCTGCGCAGAAGTGAAACATGTGATCTTCACAACACAACACATTAATTATAAGATCTTCATGATGTACGGATTGTTATGCCATGTTGTTATTTTTTTTTATTAAAATCAATGTTCAATGAAGTAAATCGTTGAGATGTTTCAGCAATTTTTTTTTTAATAAAAAGAATAAGGCTCATTTGAATAATCTGGTTTGTTTTAAATATAAAATGGAAAATATTTTTTCTTTGATTATTGAACTGATAGTTTGATCATTTGATAGTATCTGCGCTCAAATAATTCTTGAAAATTTTTAAATAAAATTTAAATTTTATTTTTAGAAAATAAAGTTTAAATGTAAGAAATATTTAAAGTTCCCATCTTAGAAAATATTATTATTTTCAGGTCAAAAAAAAAAAATCCAAGTTTGCGGCCTAATCGGGTTTTAACCAAGTTGTTTTCCGAACAAAAAAATATAACAAAATTATTTGCTGCCTCAACACGAAATGTAAAAAATATATAAATTTTAAATTTATCTATATTTTTGCATCAAAACTTTATTTTCTAAAAGATTTTAACTGTAAGAATATAGATAAAAATTTAAATTTTAATTAAAAATTTTTAAGTTCCCATCTTAGAATCAGAGATGGTGCCAAGAAATATTAACAATAATTACGATTAGTAATTATTGTTAATATTTCTTTTTTTTTTTTTTGAATTTCAGCACAATTAGAATATCATTATTATTTTCAAATTAAAAAAAATCCCTAATTGGGTTTTAACCACGTTATTTTCCAAACTAAAAAAAATATAACATACATTTATTTTCTGCGTAAACATAAACTCCACCACATAACACGAAATATAAAAAAATAAAAAAATAAATAAAAATAAAATTTAAACGCGCACCTAATCTGCGTCATACTCTTAATACATATTTTCATAAGATTCGGAACCTTTTTTTTCATTATTTAAAACCAGTTCTTCCTTGGAAAATTTTTTTCTCTTATTTTTTCTTCCTCTATGCTTATACTTAAATATGTATTTAAATATAAATATAAATTTATATTTTTAATTTAAATTTATATTATAATTTTAAATTTATACAAAAATGACCGATGGATGGTTACCTTATTTAGTATGTTTTTCTAGGAAAGGAGGTTGTTTGAGTAGCATTGAATTCACTTCAAATTAGTCAATCGAAATAGTTCCGTGGATCGTTTAGACAAACTAAAAGTTGCGAAAAAGATCTACATAAAGATATGGTCATATTATGTATACGTATTATGTGTAATAACCTTTGAGATATAAATATTTAAATTATGAATAATTTATAAGTTGATTTTATTAATTTATTCGTTGCGAGAATGATTTTTAATTTTAATTGATTCTCACACCAAATATATGCCAAACTTAAGAAAAAAATATTTTACTAATATTTTTTTTTAAATGGATCAACACAATACAACGTGTTTAAAAAAACTACATCATTTAATTCATGATCAGTTGGAAATGTAAAAAATCGGTAGTAATTCAATTATTATGTTCAGGATGTATAAAACATCGATTAGGAGTTAAACAAGTTCAAAAAGAAAATAATAAAAAAAATAATTTAAAATATGCATAATAATAATAAAAATGACAGTGATGACGCTACTTCGAAATTTGATTTTCAAATCTTCTTCCTTCAGAACTGTTATTATTAGTAGTTCTTAGATTATTCAAGTAAGAAAATTAAAATTTTGTTAAATTACAAGCATTCATTTTATCATTTATAACTTATTTTTTTAATTAGTTTATTAATTTATTTATTTTAACTCAGATATTATTAGCGAAAATAGCAATAGCATACTAGTAAGTAAATATATCAAATAATCAAATACATCAACATATATATTGTAATAATAAATGATAATCGAATAATTTTTTGTGAAATTATTTACTTTTATTTTTTATTTATAACATCTTTTTTTTTTTTTATTAATTAATTTATTATTATTAGAAAATTCTTATGATTTTTTCATAGATAATCATTTTTAATAATGAAACTAGAAATTTTTGGATATGGCGACTTTGTCGCTGCCATGTGATTAAGATTTATACATATAATTGGTTATATAATTTATTAATCTTCAAATACAATTAAAGTAAAATTAAAATAAAAATTATAACTGAGTAAATTTAATGTAATGTTTAAATATTGGTAATTAAGAAATATTTTGTAGTGGTCTAGAAATAGGTAGTGGTTCAGATACTTTTGTTTCTAATCTTTCATATTCTTTTATCATGGATTCATCTACAGTGAATGCATCCTTTTCAAGGGATCAGATTTTAATATTATTCCAATCATTACATCTACTTAGTGCAACATATGCCTGTCCTTTTTCAAACATTTGTGAATCTA